TCCCACGCGGCGGACCAGGCCGAGACCGCGTCGCCCCCCCGCCCCCCCACGGCGGGCTGAACGGGGGGGGCCGCGACCAAGGCGGGGAGGCAGCGGGGGTAGCGCCCTCAGCGACGGGCGGCGCAGCCCGCCTCCCGCAGCGGCGCCTTCGGCTGCGGCGACGGCGAGCCCTCCGCGCCAGAGAGGCCCTCAGCGACGGGCCCGCGCACATGGAAGTTCACCACGTGCAACACTACGAGCTGGCCAGCATTTCCTGCAGGCTGAGGCTGAGGGAGACGTGGTGCTGCTTCAGGAGATAGCGGTCGCCCCCGCTGACCGCGGCATGGCGGAGGCCTCCCTCGGTCGCCTCGGCTGGAAGACCACGGTGGCGCCTAGCCGCGACACAGGTGGTGGCCTGTCGAGCGGAGTTGCGATCGCCGTCAGGCCGCACCTCGGGCTCAGCGAGGCCCCATCGTCAGGCGCCCGTGGCTTCCGGATCGGTCCAGTCTCAAGTGGTTCAACGGGCGTGTCAATGGGGGGCATTATCATTGGCTCGGTTTGTCTGGTCTCGAGAGGCGGCCTTGACGATGTCTCGTTCGGGGCGGCGAAGCAGCCGGGCGAGGCCTCGCGGGCCCTGGGGCAGCCCTTCATCCTCGGAGGCGACTGGGATGTGGAGCTCACGGAGCTCATGGCGTCTGGGCTGCCATCGCGTCGACTGGGACTAACGCGTGCAGGGGCTCCGGGGCCAAGTGGCACGCGCTTGACTACTTCGTGGTTTCAGCTGGTTTTCTGTCTGGAGTCCTCGGTTGATCGCGTCAGGAAAATGTTAACACCAGCCCGCATTGGGCTGTGCAGTTGCGGGTGTCTGGGGCCCCCTCCTCCGTTCAGCTCCCTTCGTCTAGGTTGCCCAAACAGATCTTCCTACGGGGCCTCTCCTGGCTGGGCTGGATCCGCGTCACCCAGGTCCTGGAGTCGGTCGCCTTTCAGGGGAGCTCGCCAATGGCGACCTCGCGTTTTGCGACCAGGCAGAGGCCGAGCTGTCATTGTTCCACGGCCTGTCGGAGGAGGAGGCGAAGCCGTGCTCTGGAAGGGGTCGCGGGGCCACGGTTGTTCGGCGGTCGGTCTTGCGGAAGCCAGGCGGAGCTCTTCTGCTGAAGCTAGAGCGCGGAGAAGATCCTGCACCGTCTTCAGGTGCTGCGGTTTCTGGTCGGTCGTGGCCAGTTGGACTCTTCGGACGCGCGGCATCTCTACCAGAAGCTTCTCTCGTGGGCTGGTCATATTCGTTCTTGTGCCGAGTGGTTCACTTTTCGGGCGTGGCTGTCGGAGTGGACCCGTGGGCACGAGCTGGACCTGTCCGACGCCATTCCGCATCTCGGCCCGCTTGCGAGCATTCTTGAGAGCAGGTTCGCTGCGCAGAGGGCCAAGGACTGGAGGATGGCAATGGAGGCGGGCTCGCCCATGGAGACGGTCGCCCGAGCCGCGCGCAATGGAGGCGGGCTCGCCCATCGCATCGCCCGCCAGCCGACCGAGTGGATCCCAGGCGAGGCCTCGGAGTGTCAGGACGGAAAGCCCGCGGGGACGGACGGCCTCCTCGGGGACCTAGAGTCGGAGTGGGCATCCATTTGGGGTTGGGTCGTCTGTGGAGGAAGCGTCAAGGACCCAAGCCGTCATCACGCATATCCATGGGGTTGACCTCCCTCCAATAGATGAGGCCCCCAGCCCCGACAGGCGACGCTGCGTTCTCAGAGGGTTCAAGCGATTGGCGGCAGTGGGGGGGCTGACGGTTGGCGCCCGTACCTCCTCCAGCAGCTCGCCGATCTGGGTTTGGAGTGTCTGGGGCTAGTACCCTGGAAGATCGAGGAGTTGATGCCGTTCCCTATTCAGCTGTGGAGAGCTATCAGTGGGTGCTCCAGAAGCCCGAAGGGGAACGCAGACCGATTGGGACCCCCGCCACGTTCCGCCGCGTGCTCGAGGCTCTTCGACGGGGCCGCGCCGTTCAGTGGGGGACCTCGCTCCCCCGTGACTGATCGTTTGGCATCGGAGGTAAGTCTTGTGAGCAGGCGGTGTGGAGGCAGGCGTCGGTGGCTGAGTGGGCCAAGGCCAATTGTCCGGCCTCGGCCAGCACCCTTGTGGGCCTCCAGAAAGCTCACGAGGTGGTTTCCCACGTTCGGCTACTTCGGATTGGCCAGGAGCTCCAGTTCAAACTTCGTAGGCTGGCCCTCCTCGCCATCATGTAGTCGGGCCCGAGGCTCCTTCAGGTGGGGGTCTTCGTCTCTCAGGGCTCGTCTCGAAATCTCCAGGGGATCATCGCTGGCTGCGCCTTCGCCGCGACGCTGTTTCGCAGGTTCCCCCTGCCCATATTGGACGAGGTCGTCCGAGAGACCGCGCCCGCCGCGCACTTGGTGGTCGACGGTTGCGCGCTGCCCTGCGCGCGCCGAGAGGGCCACGTGGTCCGCGTGCTTTCTAGGGGCACGCTCCAGCTGTGCACCCGATTGGAGCTCGAGGGGTTCAAGGTTTCCCGCAAGAGGTGCCAGCTCACGGCGTCTCCCAGGAACGTCTCGAAAGCTCTGATTGCCACGTTGCGGGCGTGGAACTTCAAGGGGCTGACGGCGTTAAAAACCTCGGTGTTGATTGCTCGCTGAGCGGGCCTACTCGGGCCACGCAAGCGCGTAGGCAGGGCTTTATCAAGCGCAGGGTCCGTAGGTTTCGTTTGCTTCGGTCCGCTCGCAAGGGCCCGAGTAGCATGCTCAAGTTCGGAGGAACCGCCGCCGCGTTCATGGGGCCAGAGTCGCGGGCGTCTACCAGAGTCCGCGAGGGCTTCAGGGCCGCGTCGGCCTCGGCCATCTTTGGTCCAGCGGTGGGTCGGTCTCGCGCGTTGCACTTTGCGTTGTCGGCGACCCCCAAAACGGATCCCATCTACGCGGCCAACAAGTTGCAGTTGCATTTATGGGGCCGAGCGGTCGTCGAGCAGAGGTTTTCCGCTGTTTTTACGGCTGTGACCTTTGACTAGGTTTGCGAGGCCTTCCCCAACAAGGTCCTATGGTTCGGCCGTTTTGGCCACCCTGTCGCGCCTAGGCTGGAAAGCCTCAGGGTGGGATCGGTGGGAGACGGCGGGGTGCACGGTGTTTCACCTATAGAATGTTTGGCCTGCCGCTCGAGGTCAGCTCGTGGACATGGGGACTGAGCACGTTCTCATGGAGGGTCTGGCGGGGTCGTCGAGGCACGAATCCATGCTCGGACCTCCCATGCTCGAGCCAGCGAGGCATTCCCAGGCTCAGCTGTTCCGAGAAGATTTTTTCTGGAAAAAAAACGCCTGCTCGGCCGCGCACGTCGCTGGAGGATTGTGGACGCAGCATCGCCTGTTTCACGCGCGTGCAGCCGATTCAGCGACATGTAAAGTCTGTGGCCAGGAGGCTGGCGACACTCCGCATAGGCCCTGTTCGTTGTGATTTTCCCAGAGGGTTCGGGACAGCCTTGGTTTTGATGCAGTATCCCAGGCAGGGGCTGCCTGCTTCGAGGATGACGCTTTGCTGTTCCGATGCCCTATGTATTCCAAGTTTCGCTTGCAGCCACCTCCCGATCAGTTGGGCCAGACCTTGTCGGATGGGCCGCTGGCGGGGGGAGTGTTCACAGGCGCTGTTGCGATTGACGGTCGCATCTTAGGCCCTGGTTTTCCGCTTTGTTCGAGACGAGGCTGGGCGGTCGTCTCGGTCGATCAGCACGGCATCTAGCAGGGTGCCCTTTTTGGTCCTCCCCCCACCGCCTTGCAGGATATCGGCCTCGCGGAGCTCTGGGCTGTCTTTCAGTGCCTGTCTCTCGCAGTTGCGCCCACCGCGGCCGCGACCGACTGCCATGCGATAGTCGACGGGGCTGCGGCTGGAAAAGCTCGATGTTTGCGTCCACGCCGACCCTATTCTGAAGTCTGGGATCGCATTTGGTTTACGTTGGAGGACCCGGGGGCCGACGACGTTTCGGCCCGATGGGTTCCGCCCCACAAAAGTCGGCCAGATGCTCAGAGGCGGGGCGTGCCCTGGCCATTCTTTCGAGGCAATGTTCTGGCGGATGAGTTTGCCGAGCGGGGGGGGCGGAAAAGGCATCCCGGGGACGAAGACTGGGCCCGCAAGCGCGCGATGGTCTGGTGGGCTAGTCGTCACGCTGCGTACTGCACTGGTCGTATACTGCACCACTTGGCCCTTCCGGATTTCCCTGACGTGGTCCGCCCGAAGGTGGTCAGAGTTCGCTTCGACCCGCTCGATCCAGTGTCGGACCCTGGGGGCCACCAAGTCAAGCTTGTGCGTTGACGCCGGGGGTGCGTGTCCTGCGGTCGATCGGCTTTGCATCGCTGCAAGGTGGTTTCTCGGCCGCGCCCTGGAGTCCCATCGGTTGTGGTGGGCTGGGGGGCCCGCGGAAGAGGTTGTTCGGTGTTCGCGCTGCGGAGCGCATGGAGCCCAGCAGGTGCCAAGGATCGGCAGGCCCTGTGTCCCTGCCACGGGCTGGGGCCGCCGTTCTTTGAAAGCGTTGCGTAAGTCAGGAGGGGAAGAAACACACAGACACAATTAATCGGCGATTCCCAGAAAATATGGGAAAATATGGGAAGTGGGGGGGAAGACAGAAACCCCGAAAATATGGCAAAATATGGGGAATCCTTTTATTTGTGTGTATTTATTTGTGTGTCCCAGGGCCCCTTGAGTGGAGCCCTGAACGGTTGCGGAAGTGGCAGTAGCGCCACCCGCGGAGGGCTCCCACCGTGGTCGAACTCGCGGGACTTGCCGGTGCGGTTCCTTCTGGGGCCGCCCCCAGAGGAGCGGAGAGGGAGAGCGGAAAAGGGGGGAAGGCAGAAGAGGGGGAGGGCGGCAGAGGGGGGGAGGAGCTGGAGTGGGGACGAGGCGGAGGGGGGTTGGGGCGAGGAGGAGGAGGAGGAGGAGAAGGTTGGCAAGACGACGACAACGAGGCCGACGACAAGGAAGAGGACGATGAGTGTTGGCGAGGGCGGCACGTGTCAAGTGCCCGACGCGGCGCAGGGGCGGTTTGCTTGTCCCTTCACTTCTTAGTGTTCATGAACAACGGGTACGGCTTGGCCCCGCTGGAGGCGCGTCCGGTCCCCCGACCCCTGACCTCCTCGCGCCTTGGACAAATCACGGAGCGACGGTTTGGGGCCGCGTTCGAAATCCGGGGCCCTCTCAGGGCCCGTCAGGAAACTGTTCGGGATGACTTACAGTCGGACCGATGTATCAGATCGAGGTCGGTTCGGGGAGGGTACCCTGATGTTTTTCGTGTCTGTTGGATGTTCCTGCGCATCCTAGGGGAGGGTACCCTCGAATGTTTTTCAGCTTGGGGCGGCGGAGGGTCTCCTGATCTTCAAGAATGTTATTTTGTCATGGGTTCGACTGAAACGGCCCATGGGGCCTCAGGACGGGGTTTGGACCATAAGGGGAGCCGCCAGGTGGAAAAACGTTGGAAGACATCGGATGCCTGGGGGGGCGAGGACTTCCAGGAGGGGCCCCCCCCCCGCCTTGCGCCGATCTTGCTGCTCCTCGCCTTCCTTTTCCTCCTCCTCCTCCTCCTCCTGCTCCTCGTCATCATCATCCTCCTCATCCTCATCCTCATCCTCGTCGTCCTCCACAATTACATAATATGAATACTACTCTCCTCTCTTCCCTGACTCTCCAGAAGATGTTCGGCCCCGTCCGCAGGTTGTTGTTTACACTGGATTCCTGCGAGTTGGTCTTTCATATGTTTGTTTACACATCCGTTCCTTCCTGGACCTTCAAAATGTTACTCACGCTGCAGCGTTGGCCTCATGTTCGGGCTTCCGCTCGCTCCGAATCGTGCTCCCGCTGCAGCACTGGCCTCATTTCCGCGTTTCTGATCGTTCCGAATTGCCGCGGGGCCTGCCGCGGGTCCTCCTCCTCCTCCTCCTCCTCCTCCTCCTCCTCCTCCTCCTCCTCCAACACCCTCCTCCTCCTCCTCCTCCTCCTCCTCCTCCTCCTCCTCCTTTTCCTCCTCCTCCTCCTCCTTCTCCGTCTCCTCCTCCTCCTCTGGGCGCGCCGGGGCCCGGAGGCCGACCCGTCGTGGGGGGAGGCGGACGGCGGTGCCGTTGGAGGGGGGCGGTGCCGTCGTCGGGCGCCCGGCGGCGGCTCCTGCGCAGTGCCGGGTCGTTGTCTTGTGGGCTCGGGTCTGCGGCCCCTCCCGTCAAGGAGCCCTCCTGGGCTCGGATGCTCGGCAAGAGTTCCGCAGAGGTGTCCCGCTCGGTCTGGCCGAGAAGGGCCTGCTGTGTTTGTTCTGCCTGTGGCCGATCTGCCTCGGCGCCCGAGCTGGGTAGCCATGCTCTGCGAATGAGAGGCTGTGCGTTTGGGAGGCCAGTCGCTGGTCAGAACAAAGTGCGCGTGACGTATGATATTCAGGGATGGCTTGCCTCGCACGCGTGGCGTCAGCTGTTGGGTGACAGTGCGGCGCAGTGCCGCCCATGCATCAGCCCCTTCTTGTCTTGGGGGGGCGGCGGATCATCATCCTCTTAGTTTTTTGTATGGCTCTCAACCCCTGCTTTAAATGCTTGTGTTGCCAGCTGCGTCTAGCAAAAACAACTTCTCTTCACCTCCCCAAGACATCCCCAGTCACAGACGCCCTTATCGTACCATCACATCCTCCTGTCCCCCTCTCGTCGAGGAGGAGGTGGAGAAGCAGGAGAAGGAGGATCCTCCTCCACGCCTCCTTCACATGCTGTTTCTCCTCCGCCCCTTCCTCATCCGCCTCCTCCTCCTGTTGATCGCCCTGGCTCCTGACTCCAGACGCAGCGCCCGACCTCTTCCTCCTCCGCCCCTTCCTCGGTCCGTCGCCCTTTCTTTCGTGGCGGTTCCCCGTGGCCCGCGCGCGATGCTCTGTCGCTCGTCCTCCTTGGACCACCGGGGGTCGAGCAGAAGCCAAGGCCACGGCCCCGCCGAGCCAAAAATCACGCCGCGGCGCGGCGGCGGGCAGGGCTCGGGGGAGGGAAGCAGAGCCGGGTCGGCGCCTCGCGGAGCAAAGCCAGAGCGGGGAGCAGCGGAGAGAGAGAGAGAGAGAGAGAGAGAGAAAGAGAGAGAGAGAGAGAGAGAGAGCGGCGCGGCCGTCTCCACCCCCGCCTGCCGCCGCTCGGCCTCGGCCCCGGCGCCGCGCAGGTGCTTGGGCAGCTGTGGGTCAGCAGCGCCAAGGCGCGCGCACCGCCGCCCACCTGCGCGAGGAGCGCCGGGGATTGGGGAGGGAGGGAGGGGGAGGAGGGGGAGAGGCGGAGGGGCTGCTTGGCTCGGGTTGGCCCCAGAGGCCAGTGCGACAGCTTGCTCCTCTGCATCGGGCCCCCCCCCAGCAAAAGGCGGAGTCCGCGGAGGCTGACGGCCCATCTCGAGCACACTGGGTCGGTCCTCGACCGTCAAAGAAAAAGCTCTCGGCACTTCGTCCCGCCCGCCCACCTCCCCCCGCTCCCACGGCCGATGGGACGGGCTGGCCACACTGGAGGGGGCAGAGCCAGCCTCGGCCTGCTCACGCAGGCCCGCTCCCACCGCTGGCAGCACTCCGTGGGGACGGCTTCATCGGAGGCCTTTCGGCCCCGCTCTGTCGTGGGGGAACTCGGGGTGCCTTTCCCCAACGCGGCCGAGACACACGGAGGACACGGTCGGGGTGAGTTCACCATCGGGACTCACAGCGCCGCACCGACACCAAAACAGGACAGACGCGACCCTCGGCGTCGCGCCTCCGACGTCCGACCGGAGGAGAAGGTGCTGTCGGGCCTGTCCCTCTACAGGGGGAATATTCAAAAATAGTCAAAAATGATACCAGAGAAAAACCCCAATCAGAATTTTGGGGGGGCTATGGTGCGTTAGGGCGTTAGGGCTATGGGGCTATAGGGCTATAGGGCGATGTGGCCATAGGTCTATAGGGCTAGAAGCCTTTAGGGCTATGGGGCTATAGGGCTACAGGGCTGTAGGGCTATAAGGCTAAAGGCTATAAGGCTATTCGGGCTATAGGGCTATATACGGCTATAGGGCTTTAGGCCCATAGGGCTATAGGGCTATAGGGCTATGGGGCTATGGGGCTATTGGGCTATAGGGCTATACGGCTATAGGGCTATAGGGTTATAGTGCTATAGGGATATAGGGCGATTGGGCTATTGGGCTATAGGGCTATAGGGCTATTGGGTTAGGCACCCCCGGGCACTTTTGGGCACCCCGGGCACCCGGGCACCCCTGGGCACCCGGGCAACCGGGCACCCCCGGGCACCCCGCGGCACCCGGGCACCCGGCCCCGGCCACCGAAGTCGGCCACACATCTGGGCACCCGGGCACCCCCGGGCACCCCCGGGCACCCCCTGGCACCCCCGGGCACCCCCGGGCACCCCCGGGCACCCGCGCACCCGGCCCCGGCCTCCGAAATCGGCCGCCCACCTCACCTCAGCTTTATATCTGCTAGGACCCCTACAGAGGCAAGCTCCGATTGGGGAAATAGTCTGGGGACTACTTTTGACTATGTTTGGGCATCTTTTGACTGCTTTTTGCGTATGTTTGATTTTTCCTCGAAAATTCCCTTGTAGGGGGACACGCCCGACCTGAGTCTAGAGCACTCGTCCCACCCAGGCCCCACTCCCGAGCCCAGCTCCTCCACCCCGAGCCCTCCAGGATCATCGGGTGGCTCCCGGTCGGGGCTCGCTGGGCCGTCCGCGGGCGGCGCCCCGGGCGGGGAGGCCCGGCGCTTCTCGGGAGCCTCGAGACGGGGGTCAATGCAAACGGGGGTCAGCCGTGGGCACCTGATCCTGCCGGATGCTGCAGGGCCAGGGTCGCATTGACCCGGGTCTGGGCACAGGATCCTGCAAGATCCTTCGCGTTGACCCTGGCTTGGGTGCAGGATCTTGCAGGAGTTTGCGGGATCCTGCAGGATCCTGACTGACCCGGGTCTGGATTGACCCGGGTCAGAGGATCCCCGAGTTTCGCCAGGTGGCACGCCATGAGGTCTTCATGATCTTTGGCCGTCGGCTTGGATGTGCGCCTTTGCGGCCCATGCCGCCGCTTCGCGCGCACACGGCTCCAGGTCGCGCCAAAGCTGATGAAGAGTTTGATCGGCGCCATGGGCTGAAGCACCTTCCTAGCAAGCTCATCCGCAAGACTGCTTGCTGCAAACTCCCATTCCGTGGTGCACCCAGCACCTATGTCCGCACGCGTGCAGTGGGCCTCAGTCTTGTACATACGGATGCCCACCCGCTGAAACGCAGCCACACATTGGCTCCTAAGGTGCGCGCGAGGATTCCCACAGCCCGTCCCGCCACCCTCCCCCCGCGACAGTGCCGACAGTGCCAGCACAGTCAGCACAGACGTGGGCATGGCTACCTGCGTGAGCCTATCGAGGGCAAAGTCCTCGGCACCTCTCGCGGTTTGCCGAGGCGCAGCAGACATCGGGACGGGCCCGTAGGCCGAGTCGGAGGGGCGGATCATCGAGAACACAAGCACCCTGACCTTGATAACACGATGAAGACGTGGCCTCACTTAGGTCCCCGTCTTTGCATCCGGGATAGTAAGTCTGGGCGGGTTGGTCTGATCCCTCTGCAGAAAAAGACACCCTGTCCCTAATGTTTCTGGCCCTCCAAACTTAGGCTCCCTCGCAAAGGTTTAGGGGTCAGTTCTGGTTGATCAAAGGAGGGAGGAGTAAAGAGAAGCAGGAGAATGCTGCGGACATCAACCATCACGCATAGATTCGGAGACGGGGGGACTGCGGACGCTGGCGGAAGGCAACACTAATCTTTTTTTCCATATTCGTGGCGCCCTTGATTTTTGAGGGGCCCAGGACTGGCACAGGTCGTCTGGCCCCCCGCTTCCATGGTTCCTGGCGCTTTCCATGCAGCCGACCCGCCGTTGCAGACGGTCGACGGTTCGCCCTGGAGTGTTCTGCCGCCTCCCGCGAGGGCGGTGAGAGTTTGGCCCGCAGCAAGGAAGTCGGTGGTGCAAAGATGGGGTCCTGAGGGATGGGCTCCTAAGGATAGGAAGGGATCCAAGTGAGGATATACAGTCGGGGCCTTCAAGAAGGAACGCTTTTCGTTGGGAGGGGCTCGGTGTTCCTTGATTGTTTTACAGTTTGCCTCGGGTTTCTCTTATGTTTTTGTATGGGACATCGAAGTTCAAATTATGGAAAAGAGGGGCCTTGCTCCTTATTTAGGGTTCCTTAAGTCAACGCCCCGACTGTACGTTGTTTGAGGCACCTAGCCCATAGGACCCCATCCCTCAGGACCCCATCTTTGAACCACCGAGAAAGGCTTGCTTCCACGTGTAGGGGAACGAACCATTACATATATGTAACTCGGAGGACCGCGCGGATTTCTTGGATCCATCCGCGCTGGACCCCCCTCTCTGGCGCGCGGAGCGCGCCAGGGGCGGCGCCGGAGGCGCCGCCAGGGGGCCCCAGCGCCGATCCGAGAAATCCGAGCGGACCTCCGAGCTTTTATGTTCATGTCACGTTCCTCTAAAGTTGCGCAGGACCTCGAGGAGCCCGCGGCACCTCGCACGTTCGAACTGCCCGCGCCGCGTCCACTCGGAGCCCCTGCGGCGGCCTGCGACCACGCCCTCCTCGAGGAGAGGCGGACAGGGCTGGGGGTGCTTGCGTCTCACGGCCCAGGCGACATGGTCGTTGATGGCGTGACATGTGTTGGTTTCCTTGTCTGTCCCCGCTCTCCCGCACGTCGTGCGTGGTAGCACTCCCAATCACGCGTTGCTTTGTGATGGTGACCTCTTTCCTACTTTTTGTTGATCTCTCTCTCCCTCTCTCTACCGCCCGCTGTCTCTCCAAACCGCTATGTCTTCCTTTCTCTGTGTGTCTCTCTGTCTCTACCTGTCTGTCGATATGCTGTTTCTCACTACCTGAGTATACGTATTTTGATTATCTCTCTATCTATATATAGATATGCGTGTGTGGCTAGTTATATAGCGTTCTCCCTCAGGCATGCCATCGCATTGTTCCCCTCCTTCTTCTCCCAATTCCTCTCCCTTCCCTTCTCCCTTTCGGTCCGTTATTCCGCTACCCTCCTCCCCCCCTCTCCTTCTACCCCCACCCCCTTCCCTCCTCCTCCCTCCTACCCTCCCTCCCCTCCCCCCTTCCCTCCCTTCCTTTCCTGGGCGGAACTAGATCCACAGGAGGACGATGAGGATTTGTAAGCCCATTTGATATCAACCCACGGCGAGAGTAAACCCGGAGGAGGAGGAGCAGGACGACGACGACGAAAGTAAACCTAAGATGCATCAACGATGTTGCAGTACACCCTCCCGCCCACAGCCCCCTTCCTCAGAAGTCCCAACCTTCCTTTCTGACAAAGTGCTCCATTGGAAGTCTTGCGCAACATGGGCCTGCCATTCGGACGAGAACCCCGGTCTGAAAAGAGATCGAATGGCCCCGCATCCCCCCAGCGAGCAATCAGGAACGCGCAGAGTTGTGGTAATACGGCTTGATGGAGGACCCAGCTCTGAACAATGGACGCCCTCGAGGGCGCGAAGTTATTTGCGCTTCGCGGTTCGGCTCCGATTCCTCCTCATCCTCCTCTTCTCCCCTGGGAGGCCGCGCGAGAGCGCGCAGTTATTCGCACTTCGCGCTTCGCGCAGCGCGAAGCGCGAAGTTGGGAGCCCTTGATGATGCAGGTTGATGGAGGACCCAGCTTTGGAAGTGCACCGCCCCCCATCTGCGGAACTCTTGCACAGGTTCTCCCGTGCTGCCGCGAGCGTCGGACAGGTCTCGGGCGAGGGCCCCGGTTTGAGAGGGAGACGCCCTCCGTGCGTGCAGCTGTGCCCGCACAAGTCTTCGGCCTTTCGAGCGAAGGAAGTCTCACGCCTCTCTTCTGCTTCTTCTTCTTCTTCTTCTTCGTCTTCTTCTTCTTCTTCCCCCTCCTCCTCCTCCTCCTCCTCCTCCTCCTCCTCCTCCTCCCCGTTTCGAAAAGAAGCCTCCCTTCATCCGTGCATCTCACGCGAACGCCCCGCTTCGAAACGGAACAGCCCACCGTTTGTTACAAGTGCTGTTGATGCTTGAGACGAGTGTGCGCGGCGTCTAGGTGACAGCTCCGCTGTGACAACGGCCCGCCCTCCATCCTTGAAGCTGCTTCAAATGTTTGAAACGATTGTCCGGCGCGAAGGAGATAGCCTCAGTTTGAATATTGCCCGCTTTCATACTTGAAGTTGTTGCACACTTTTACGACGATCGCGCGCGGCGCTAAGGCGAGAGACGCATACTGAAAACTAACAGCCCACCACCCCGATTGAAATCGAATGCGCGCGTCGCTAAGGCGAGACTCCCATGCTCAAAACTAGTCCCTCCTGCATATCCGAAGCTGGCGCAAGCTTTTAAGGCGAATGTGGTCGGCGCTAATGCGAGAGTTCCATTGTGAAAACAAGTTGCCCTTCACAATTGAAACTGATACGAATTGCAAGCTTCCGGACCAGACGTGGTGAAGAAGTCTGAGGCGAAACGCCTGCCCCGCCCTTCTAGAACACCCAGGGAAGGTCTACCCTAGGCTTACCGCCAGAACCTACCGCTAGGCCTACCCTAAATCTACCCCTAAACCTACCTACCCCTAGGCCAACCCCTAAGGCCGAGGCCTACCCTGGGCCTACCACTAACCCTTAGCTCTACCCCAGGCGTGCCCCCATGCCTACCCTTGGCCTACCCCTAGGGCCTACCCCCCCCAGGCCTACCCCCCCAGGCCTACCCCTAAGGACTACCGCGAAGGCCTACTCCTAGGCCTACCCTAGGCCAACCCCTAGGGCATACCCCTAGGCCTACCCTAGGCCTATCCTTAGGCCTTCCCCTAGGGCTTATCCTTACTTCTTATGATTAAACACCTCCAACCCCCCACTTAGCCTGCCGATAGCAACCCCGCCGTCCTAACTGTTAAAAACACTCAAAATCAACGTTTGTCTCGCCAACATGTCGTCGAGTTGACAAAAGTGTAGCAGAAATGGGACGGGGTGAACATCGCTTGGGTAACCCTAAGCGGGTGGTCGCGTCCTACCTATGAAAAGTACAAAGTCCGCGCTTCTCTTGACAACAAGGGCTTTCTTGTCGTCGACTCTGCAAGAAGTGTAGCAGGAATGGGACGGAATGAACATCGCTTGGGTAACCCTAAGCGGGTGGTCGCGTCCCAACTACCAAAAAAAAAAAAAAAAAAAAAAACAATACAAAGTCAACGCTTTTCTCGACAACATGGGCTTTCTTGTCGGCGACGATGCGAAAAGTGTAGCAGGAATGGGATGCGGCACGCATCGCGCGCGGACGCCTGGCCAACCTTACGAGTGACCTCCCGTCCTTCCTGCCAAGAAAGACCGCAACATCGACGTCTTTCTTGCCAACATGTTTTTCTCCGCGTCGGCGCTGCGAATCGCGTAGCGGGAATGGGGTTCGGCGCACATCGCGCGGGGACGCTTCCTCGTCAAAATGGATTTTCTTGTCGTCGACGCTGCGGCCCGTCGGGTTGAGGAGCTGGGCGGGCGGCAAGTCATAATGGATCGAGCAAGTGCGGTTCGCCGCACTTCGCTCGCTGGACATGTCGTCGCCGACGATGCAACATGAGAGGCGGGAGCGGGGCGCGGCGTACATCGCGATCGTTTTCGTTTCTCGTCGACGTTGTTCAATACGCGGCAGGAAGAAGACTCAGCTCGTGTCACGCGCTGAACGTCTAGTCGCCCGCGATATAAGATGAGCGACAGGCGTCGGACGCGACGCACTTGCTCCTTATGTTGTGGGAGGGCGGGTGGGAGTGGACGGAGCCCTCTGGCTCGTTCGAGCTGGCTAACTTGACCCTCAGGGCATACCCCTATGGCTCACCTTAGGCCTTCCCCTAAGCCAAGCCCCTATGGCTTATCCTTGGCCTACCCCTAGCGCTTACCCCTAGGGCCCACCCCTAGGGCCTACCCCTAGGGCCCACCCTAGGCCTACCCCTTGGCGTACACCAGGCCTACCCCGAGGGCCTGCCCTGGGCCTACTCCTAGGTTTACCCGGGCCAACCCCTAGGACCTGCTTCGGGGGCAACCGTGGTCGCGTAGTCGTAATCCTTGGTTGATGTTGCGGTTTGCCCTGGGGCTGGCCCTGGGCATTAAGGGTAGGTTCGGCTCGGTTCCTAACAACTAGGGCCTATCCGTAGGGGGTGCCCCAACCCCTAGGGCTTGCTTCGGGCTCGATCCCAGGCAAAGCCCATGTCTGCGAGGGGGGGGTCGCCGAGGGGGGAGAAGCGGGAAAAGGGGTCCCTGAGGAGCGGTGTCAGAGGGGGTGGTCTCCGACAGGGGGGTCGCCGAGGGAGGGTCCCATATGGGGGGTGGTCGAAGGGGAGTCGAGTCCCCAGGGACGAGGAAGAGGAAAAGGAGGAGGCGGAGGAGGAGGAAGAGGAAGAGGTAGAAAGGGAAAACGGGAGAGGGAGGAGGGGGGAGGGGGGGTCACCGAGGAGAGGGGTCCTCGAGGGGGGGTCCCCGAGGGGGGGGGTCGCCGATGGGGGGTCCCCGATGGGGGGTCGCCGAGGGGCGTCGCCGAGGAGGGGGGGTCCCCCAAGGAGGGGTCTTCGAAGGAGAGCCCAGAGGAGGAGGAGGAGGAGGAGGAGGAGGAGGAGGCGGAGGAGGAAAAGGAGAAGGAGCAGGAGGAGGAGCAGGAGTAGCAGGAGGAGGAGGAGGAGGAGGAGGAGGAGGAGAGGAGGAGGAGGAAAGGGAAAGGGAAACGGAGGAGGGATGAGGGGGGACGGAAGGATCACCGAGGAGGGGGGGGTCCCCGAGGGGGAGTCCCCGAGGGGGGGTCGCCGAGGGGGGGTGGCCGAGGGGAAGGCCCGAGGACCGGTGCCCGAGGGGGCGTCTCCGACCACCGAGGAGGTGTCCCCGTGGGGGGGGGCCCTCCTCGGCGACCCCCTCCTGTTCTCTAGGGGAGTCCCCAAGGAGGAGGAAAAGGAGGAGGAGGAGGAGGAGGAGGAGGAGGAGGAGGAAGGGAGGAAGAAGGTGCAGGAAAAGAACGGAAGGGAAGACGGAGGAGGGAGGAGAGGGGAGGCGGGGTCACCGAGGAGGGGGGGGCCCCCGAGAGGGGGGGTCCCCGAGCAGAGTCGTCGAGGGGGAGTTCCCGAGAGGAGGTCCCCGAGGGGGGGTCGCCGAGGGGGGTCCCCGAGGGGAGGTCCCCGAAGGGGGGTCGCCGAGGCGGAGGCCCGAGGGGCGGGGCTGGAGGGGGCGTCTCCGATCGCCGAGGAGGTGTCCCCGAGAGGGGGGGGGGCCGAAGGGGAATATCCAGAAGCGTTCTCGAGGGAGGGAGGAGGAGGGGGGGGGGGGGTCCCCAAGGGGGGGTTGCCGAGGAGGGGCTGAGGGGGGGTTGCCGAGGAGAGATGTGCTCGAGAGGGGGCTCCGAGGAACCGTGCGGGAGGGGGCGTCTCCGAAGGGGGGATCATCGATGGAGCGCCCCCGAAGGGGAATTCCCGAAGGGGCCTCCCCAATGGGGACGTCCCCGAGAGGGCGTCCCCGAGGGGGCGTCCCCGAGGGAGGTCTCCGTTCGGGGGTCACCGAGGTGAGGTCGCCGATGAGCGGTCACCGAGGGGAGGGGAGAGGGGATAGGGTCTCTAGAAGGTGGGGGGGGGCCTCCAGGAGCGAGGGGGTGGTTACCGAGGGGGGGGGGAGGATGACATCAAGGAGCAGGAGGACGAGGAACAGGAGCAGGAGGAGGTCGGAGTGGGAGGAGGATTGAGAGGGAGGACGTCATGATTGATAGAGAGAGGAGGTGGAGGGGGGAGCGTAGGGGGACCGGGAGGAGGAGGAGGATGAGGAGGAGGAGGAGGAGAAGGAGGATGAGGAGGAGGAAGAGGTGGCCTGGGGGGGGCAGGAGGCGGAGGATGGGAAGCAGGAGCAGGAGGGCGAGGAGGAGTCGAGGGGCACGTCGGGGCTGTTGCGCACCTGGCGCGAGGCTTTGCTGACGCTACTCCAGCTGCTGACTGCCAAGGGCTGGGCCCTGTTTTACGCGCCCGAGGAGCTCGTGCAGAGGCGCCAGAAGGGCAGGGAGGAATCGACTCCCTCTCCTCATTCCCTGGCATCCTCACGTCACAAGACCTACGTTGTCGGACGAGGTCTTCGGACGTTGCCGCGGGTTTCCAGAGGTTTTCTCGCCTCGGGATGCTTCCCAGCAGTTGCGCCTCGCCGAGACTGTTCCGGGGGGCCCGATTAGTCTCGAACGGCCGCCAGAGACCCGAATTATGTGTCGAATGCTAAACTTCCTCGCGTCTCGGCTTTCGGAACGCAAGCAAACATCATTGTGATGGGAAGCCGGAGTACCAACAGAAGCGAGACATGCCATGTTCGGGTGTGTTCCACGGGCGACGATGACAGTTATGGATTAGACTCCGACAAGCACGGACAGCATGCCGAGCTCTGCGTTACGGCAGGGATGCCGAGGGTAGTCTTGTCCGAACAACGACATCGGATAGTGGACGTCGGCCGTGTTACCACGATGCGGGTATATGCGGCCGCTGCAGCTAAACGAGCTGCGGTCGCCAAAGAGGATGACCTTCTCACAAAGGCAGATATCCAGGCGAATCCAGTCAAGGTATCGAACGGCCTATATACTGAACTGAAGACATGGTTTGAGCGCGTGCGTTTTAAGATACAATACATATCCAAAGCGTCAAACATCACGACTTCGAGATACGTATACACATGGAAATTCGTCAAGAATGACACGGGCGAAATGGAACGTACCATCAGGTTACGCCTGGTACGTTGAGGTTTGATGGGCCTCGAAGTTTTCGATGTAGAAACGTTTTCAGGAACGGCGCGGCGGTCAAGTCATCGATAGATCGCCAGCGCGGCAGCGCGCAGGACGCAGTGGATCATTGCCCCCCTCGACACCAGGATGGCCTTCTTGAACAGACCTCACACATCAAGAGCTCGCTGAAGCAACTGGGGAAAAGGAGCGCGCTGCGTGCTCTACCCTGCCACCTGGCTCAGCATCTGCACTCAGATCGCCCCCCAGGGTTTGCGCACTATGACGAGGCAAAACATTGTCTACAATGCCTTAAACCAGGCACAGGCACCAAAGATGCACCAAGAGCCTTCTCACTAAAACCCAGGAAGACCACGAACGGCTTTGGAATCAGACCCATGCCTTGCGACGTGGAGTTTGAGACAAGCACCGACGTTCTGACAGTCAAGCACGTCGATAATCTAAACATGGCCAGTATTGGGGGACACATTGACAAATGCGTCAAGTGCATTGAGGGTACAGTTGGGAACTGTACACCCAACAAACATATTCCATGCGGGACGTGAAGCATGCTAAGGATAGCGACGGCATTGTTACCCTTGACCTAAACGTATATATATATATGTATATATAGACATATATAACATATCCGTCCTATCCAGCACCACGAACACATAGGCGCAAGTGCTGAGGCCAAGGCGTCGAATATGGTCACTGATATGTTTGTCAGCCTCAGAGGCGCTCTGACCCATGCCCTCATTCAACAAGTATGGTTAATAGTATATGTCGTATCAGCACAGCGTGTCCAGGAACCGACCAGCATGCAAGCGCGACGACCCAACGCGATCACCAGGGAGCTGCAGGCTGTCCACAGAAGATCGTTCATGCGATGATACCAGCGGGCCAGGTAGACCTGCACAGCGTCTCCGGCGATCGCCGCCTGAAATGCGATGACGACGACGAGGTCAGAGGCTACGGTATTCGCCGGGCAAGCCTGCTACGGCGTGGGCACACGCATGCTGGTAGGCCTGTCGTCCATCTCTTCGACGCGCACTGCAAGTTTCACCGCTTGCAAGTTCGCTCTAGCTATCTGGCTGAAGCGCTAGCAGCAGCCAGTAAGTAAGAGGATTGCTATCCCACGATCGTTACGTTACACGAACTCCACGCAGGGCTGCTGACACCCATTCAATTGAATAATCGTATTGGTCAGGGCGGTTACCCTGACCACTGATGCGGAATATGTCTTCAAGTCCTTGTCAAGCCAAGACCAAGAGAAGCCCCACATCAGTTGGACACGGCAAATGATGGAGCGCGGTATTGCGCATAGCGCGCAGTGGTGTGACACCCGCGACATGACTCATCTTGGTCACACCAAAAAGGATCATTGACCGATATATGCTCTTCCACTTTACAGGGAGATGCAATATTTCAAGCATGGGTTGAAGCGACATACTCCCTACAGGCCCAGCCATACGAGAAAATCTGAGCCGCCCGGGGAGCAATAAGCTGCGGGGTGAACTTACTGAGGGTTGAGCCCGCTGGCTGCTGCCTTCCCTTTGAAAAAATAACTGCTTTGTCGACATAGGCCGGACGTGGACTCGCGCTTCGTCGTCCCCCCTTTCGATTCTGAAGAAGCAAGGGCAAAGGCGAGAGTTGTCGACCGTTTGTCTGCGGCCGCTTGGGTTCAGCTTGGGCTCAAGCGATCGGCCGCCGATTTGAGTGCGCCGCACTGCGGCGCACTATCCGACATCGATACGGAAACCAACCTTTTTGAGATGTCATATGGCGGCTCACGCGGCCATCTCCTATCTTTGCTCTGTCGCTACTACGACGCAATAGGGTTGGACAGATATTACGCCTAAGGCATAGTATTTGGTTGGGCCTACCATTTCATTTTTAATTGGAGGACCCTCGACATCCCGGCGGGACTCCCCGCGTTTCCCTTCCTCTCGGGGGTTCTAGACCCTCTAGACGGGGGGCAGATCAGATGGGTTCGGAGGTTCGCGCCGTGTCGCCGATGCATCGGCTATGTGGTTCGTTGCGGAGCTCGATGTTCCTCACACCCACGCCGCCGATGCATCGCCGACGTCGCCGCTGCATCGCCGATGCATCGCCGTTGCGGGGACCACGAACTCTCCCTGATTCCGGCGCCGTCTTCCGAAGAAGAACAGACGTTACAAACATAAACGGTTGGCGCTCCGATGTTTTGGGTCCGCGCCAGGGTTTCTCGGCGGCGCTTCCAGCGCTGTCCATGGCACGCACCGCGCGCCGGGGCGGGGGGGCCCAGCTCGGATCCAGGAAATCCGCTCGGAGCGCCAAAAGCTGAGGTTGATGCCATTGTTTCTTCTTCTAGAAGAGTTGAGTCCCTGTCATGGCTGGGACCACGAAGTGTCCCAGACTCCGTTGCCCTCCTCGCTTTAAGGCTGTTAATGACAGTATGGTTGTTTCTTCTTCTTTCCAAACTGTCCACACGATTCCTGTTCCCCCCCCCGTTCATCCGCACCGATGTTTGGCCGCCTCTCCTTCTGGACACCCAGACGGCCAAAAACGTCGGGACACCCACGAGGGCCAAAAACGTTGAAAAGGCCGCACCGTCGATAGTCGTATCCGGCAGGCGCACCCGGGCCGAGGAGCCATCGTTCCGGACAGTTTGGGAGCCCTCCGGGGGCGTGCCAGAGCTCTGTGAGACGGCCGCTTCGCCTGAGACATCCTCCAGGCCCGCCATGTCTGCGAGACCCCCGTCTTGTCTCTGTCCGATTATGTTTTCGGCCCGCGGTTGTCTTGCCAAGAATTTGTACCATAGTCCGCGGTCTTCCCCTCCCTAGCCATCCTACCCCAGGCGACTCATGATCGCCATCCTGGCCGGGATCGTTTTCACGTCCGTCGCGTGCGCCCCGCCGTATCCCCCCCCCGTCGCTGTCCCGAAGCCCCACCCGCATGCGCGGAAGCATCCGTAGTCGATGGGGAACGGGGGGGGAGGGGCGGAATGGGGAGGAAGGGGAGGAGGAGGAGGAGGACGACGGCGACGATGCGGAGGAGGACGGAGGAGGGAGGAAGAGGCGGAGGAGGAGGAGGGAGAGGAGGAGGAGGAGGAGGAGGAGGAGGAGGAAAGGGGTGGATGAGGGAGACGGAGGAGGAGGGGGAGGAAGAGGACCAGGAGGAGGACTAGGAGGAGGAGGAGAAAGGAGTGGAAGGGGGAGGAGCGGGAAGAAGGCGTAGAAGGGGGAGGAGGAGGAAGAGGAAGAGAAGGACGGCGACGAGGTGGAAAAGGTATTTGCGATCATGGTGGATGATATCCCCCCGCACACTCACTCTTGCAATCGACGATGTGGTGTGAAGGCATTCTGTGGTCATCCAGTTGAAGTCGAACAAATCGCGGTTGCGCACGAACGTGTGCCGAGTGTAGACAGAAGAGCGCCGTGGATGCCAGTGTTGGGGGCGACCGTTCCTGTAGAACGCAGATGGACGTGGCCGAACGGCATGCACATGAACACATTCACATTTTACACACACACAAACATAAACACATCACGCACACACGCACACACACGCATATATGCATGCATGCATACATACCTACATGAACGCATACATACGTACGTACATACGTACATATGTACATGCACAAATACATGCGTATGTTCATGTATGTGTACGTAGATACGCGCGTCCATCCACACATACATCTATACATACATACACACATACATACATACATACATGCATGCATGCATGCATGCATGCATGCATGCATACACATACACATACACACACGTGCATGCATGTATGCACTCATACATATATACATACATCACAAACATACATATATGTCTACATGTTTGCACACATAACATACAAACAAACACATATGCATACATACAAGTAAATACACACACATACATGCATGCGTGCATAAAGACACACATGCGTACATCCATACACACATACAAACAATTGTACATGCACACGCACCTATGTAGCACATTCGTGCATGCATACACACATACATACACGCACATACACGTCATGCATGCACACATGCATGCATAAACACTTATATACGTATATACATAAAGTCACAGACATGCATGCACACATACATACAAACATCCATACGTACGTACGTTTGTACGTACGCACGTGTGTAAACAGAATCGGAGTTACGCACACATATGCACATACCCTTAAACTTACATGTGTACATGTCTACAGGCCTATGCGTGCGAACATAGATGTAGAGATTCACGTAGCGTCCGTAGGCCAATCCCGCCAACGGACTTGGGTGGTGGGCCACAGGCGTACTGGATGCATGATAGGGGTCTCTTGGGATGGCTCCCGGGGGGCCTTGTGAAGGCCTTTTTCAGGGGAGGGGCTCTTGGGGCCTCTAGGCGTCTTGATCGGTTCGTAGAGGTTCTCGGGGCGACATTCGAAGCCTCTGTGGCCGTCTGGGCGGGCTGAAGCTGGAGAAGGCGATAGCGCTAAAATCACAGACGCACTTCATGAACATCAACAGTTGTTGCTTGGGCCGTCTCGGGGCCATCTTTGTTGTCTTGGCGCGCTGCTGTGCGTTCTCAAGCCCTTCTTGGACCGTACTGGGGCCCTCGTGGGACCCTGTTGGCAAGCCCTCGCGGCACGGTGGCGTACACATATAGCTGAATATTTAGAAACATGTATGTATATATATGTATATATGTCGGTAACTGTATAGATCTGCAGAAACAAAACACACGTATACAAGCAGACGTGTGCGTATGTGAGAGAACTTTGCACTACTTCCCCCGACAGTGCTTACCCTTTTTGGGGTTCTTTTTTGCCCTGGGAAGGGATCGGATGGCTACTTCGACGTTTCGCCGCGTTGCCGCCTCGTTGCCGCCAACGTGGGAGGGCTCGTCGAGGTCTCGCCGCGTCGCCGCCCGTTGCCGTGTCGCTGCCGCCCACTTGGATGAGTCCGTCGAGGTCTCGCCGCGTCGCCGCCTCGTTGCCGCCCACTTGGGGGGTCCGTCGAGGTGTCGCCGCGTCGCCGCCCGTCACCTCGTTGCCGCTCATGTGAGGTGTCCGTCGAGATTTCGCTGCGTCTCCTCCCGTTGTCGCCCCTTTGCCGCCCATTTCGGGTGTCCGTCGAGGTTTCGCCGCGTCTCCGCCCGTTGCCACCACGTTGCCGCCCACTTGGGATGTCCGTTGAGGTTTCGCCACGTCGCCGGCCGTTGCCGTCTCGTCGCCCCCCTTCTGGGAGGTCCGTCGAGGTTTCGGCGCGTCGCCGCCCGCTGCCTCCCACTTGGGGCATCCGTCGAAGTTTCGCTGCGTCGCCGCCCGTTGCCGCCCACTGGAGAGGTCCGTCGAGGTTTCCCCGCGTTGCCGCCAGGTTGCCGCCCGCTTGGGGGGTCCGTCGAAGTTTTGCAGCGCTGCCGCCCGTCGCCGCCACGTTGCCGCCCATTTGGGGTATCCGTCGAGGTTTCGCCGCGCCGCCGCCCGTTGTCGCATCGTTGTCGCCTCGCTACCGCACATTCAGTGGGTCCGTCGAGGTTTCGCCGCGCCGCTGCCCGTCACCGCCTCGTTGCCGCCCACTGTTGGGTCCGTCGAGGTGTCGCCGCGTTGCCGCCCGTTCCCGCCTCGTGGCCGCCCGTTGCACTTGTTGGGTCCGCCAAGGTTGCACCACACAGCTTACACCACATAGCTTGCAAAACGTAGATGGCATCACATAGCTTGAACATCCACGGTGCAATACTGTACGCGTTTGTGCCCACGGCGGTATATATATATATATATATATGTATGTAAATTTAAAGGCTGCCGCCTCTGCCGCCGACCCCAAGTGATCGACGTACGTTTGATTCGTTTGTTGTCGGGGTGCCTATCGGAGTACGGCAGAAAAAAGGGGTTAATATGAGACATCCAGGCATGAGCCTGACTCATGATTCTCAGTTGCACTTTCGTCTCTTCTTCACCGACTATCCTTCCCGCCACTGTGCCTAGGTTTTCGGTATGAAGCCTTTTGGTTGTTCGTTTGGATTTCGTGATTGTCTCTTCGGGGAAGCCCACACCTGAGGTGGTTCAGCCATTGTCGCCCTAGATCTTCTCTTTTTGGGCTCAGAGATGTCCTGTCAATGCTGTCTCCGATGACCCATTGGACAATTCAGTGTCGCTTGCCAGATGAACACTCGGGCAGACTGGGACCCTTCTTGTTGCCAGTCTCGGGGGAACTGGAACCCTTCTTTGTTGCCAGACCAGGGAGACTCGAACCCTCTCGGGTGCGAGTAGCACATCTGTCAATCGTGTCCACTTGTGAAACGGGCGAGGGTTCTTAGCTGGGCATTGCATGAGGCGAGTTGTCCGTCCTCTGCCGATGGGAGTTTGGGAGGAAGCGACTTCACAAGCTAGTCACCCAAAGGTGTGGGCGGATTTTCCTTGCCGTGGATGTTGTGTGGCACTTCGTCGGAGGGGAGGCCCGACGTTGCCCCATCAGCCATACAACTGGTGCTGCAGCGCGCCTGGCGCTTGCCGAAAAACATGAAATCATGCCGCCCTCAAGGCCGGCGGGTTCCGAAGTCCTGGGGCCTCGCGCCGAGTTCCCGGGAGGGGTCAGTGGCCCCTGAGAGGTCTCGCCATTTTAGGAGCCCCCTTTCCTGGCCGATTTGATGTTCGGATTCCAGTTCTGGTCCGATCCGTCGTGCGCCATTGAAATGTACATCGGTCCTATACGAGGACTCCAACGGTGAACCTCGTGCCTTCGGCGACAAAGCCAACGCAAGTAAAACGAAGACACTGCCGCTGGTGGAGACTCGGTCGAAAAATGGCGGCGGAACAGGTTCTAAGCGCGCGCGCGGTTCAAGTATATCGTATGGATGAATACCAGGTTTCCGGGGGCGCCTCCCACCTCAAAATCATCGGGCTTCCTTTATTCATACATCCGCCGTGGCGCCTCCAAGGGGCCTCCAGACGGCCCAGGAGGCTTCCAGGAGGCCTCCAAGGCGGCCCCAGGAAGCACCCAAGAGGGGGGAGGAGGAAGAGGGCAGCAGAGGAGGAGGACGAGGGGCAGGCGGAGAAGGAGGCAGAGGAGGAAGGAGAGGGGGGGAGGAAGAGGAGGAGAAGGAGGATGAGGTGGGGGAGGCAAAAGAGGAGGAGCGAGGAGGAGGAGGAGGAGGAGGAGGAGGAGGAGGAGGGGGGGAGGAGGAGGAGGAGGAGGAGGAGGAGGAGGAGGAGGAGGAGGAGGAGGAGGACGGCTGAAGGAGGACGAGGATTGTGGGGGGTAGGTGGGAGGAGGACGACGAGGATGAGTAGAAGGAAGAGGATGAGAAGAAGAGGGGGATGAGGAAGAGGAGGTGGAGGAGGAGGAGGAGGAGGGAGAAGAGGAGGAGGAGGAGGAGGAGGAGGAGGAGGAGGAGGGGGAGGAGGAGGAGGAGGAGGAGGAGGAGGAGGAGGAGGAGGAGGAGGAGGGGTGGTGGAGGAGGAGGAGGAGGAGGAGGAGGAGGAGGGGAGGCGGAGGGGGAGGGGGAGGAGGAGGAGGAGGAGGAGGAGGAGGAGGAGGAGGAGGTGGAGGAGGAAAAGGAGAAGGAGGAGGAGGAGGAGGAGGAGGAGGAGGAGGAGGAGGAGACGGACGAGGTCGAGGAGGGGGACAAAGAGGAGGAGGGGGAGGAGGGGGGGGAGAATAAGGGGGAGGATGGGAGTGGAGAGGAGGGAGGAGGAACAGGAACAGGAAAACGAGGAGGACGAGGAGGTGGAGGCGGAGGAGGAGAAGGAGGAGGACGACGACGAGCCGGATAATGCGGAAGTGGGGAGGGGGGGAGGAAGGGACGGGGAGGAGGAGGGGAGGAGGAGGAGGAGGGAAGGAAAGGCACGGGGGCAGGGGGAACGCCGCCTGTGGCCCAAAACTGGGCCATCGTTGGCCGA